TTAATTTGATTGGTTGACCTGAATTTTATCAGGTCAGATCATAAGTTTGACCCAACCTGATGTTGACCTGAAAATTTGTCTACCTGACCTGGATTTTTCAGGTCAGGTCAGGTCAGATCACAGGTTGACCTAACCTGATTCGGAGCTATACTATAAATACAAAGTGCAATGGAATTTGTAAATAAAATTTTATAATAAATCAAAATAAAACATTCTGTTTACCTCTATCATTATAAAATGGGAAAATGTCAATACAATCAGCAAAAAAAAATTCTTTATCAGTTGTTAACTTGTTTTTAAAATATGGTCATGATTTATATACGCTATCATACATCAAGTCAATAATAAATGATTCTATGGTATTAACGTTAAAAATTAACTTTACTACACTGATCATCAGTGACCAATGGAATGATGACGTATTAAGTCTGACAAATATTGTGCCAAATGATCTGCAAAATCCATAGGATTTTTAGGATTTTTATAATTTAACAGATTTGAATAATCGTCATGATTCATTGGATTTTTCTAATTTCTTATATTTTCATTATTTTAATTATTATCATTATCATTATTATTTTATTATTATTATTATCTCTATTATAATTATTATCTTTATTATTATTATTATTATCATTATATTAGCATTTGTAACTACAAATTTAGTTAGTTTATAACGTAACAACTAGTTAGCTGTAGCAAATTAATTTTGTATAAATAGAATAGCTATTTGTTTAAGTTGTAAATTAACTTTCTTGTAAGTTCTTAAATATTTATGAGTTTCAAGTAACAAATAAAAGAATCAACTTTGAAAAACAATTACTTTTTCCTTTTACATGTCCATCATCTAGGATTTGATCGTGAATTACTACACTAACTTGCTTTTGAGTTCATCATTTAGAATAACTAAATTCTCTATGTTTTTTCCTAAGTCCCTAAATCTTTAAGTTCATAAAATCAAGTGAAGTAATTCTAAGGCATTTCAGATACCTGTAGGATATGAGATTCCTTAAGGTTGTAAAATCTAATGATAAGGAATTTACTTGCTGCAGTAAAGTAACTTAGTGAAATACTTGTGATATAAGGAGAATTATTCCCAGTGACAATGGTATCTCCTATATTATCTGAATTTTGTAAATAAAATATTGCGAAAATAGCAAGTAAATAATTATTATAAATATACTGTATACAGTTAAACCTTGATATAGCGAACCCTTGATATAGTGAATTTTTAAATTAAATATATTAAAATTACCTTATTATAGTGAACTAGCCAATTAAATTCTTTAAAAAATTCATTATAAGCTTATAACGAAGTTGATATCCAGATCCTAAAATTCGTTATATCAAAAGTTCACTGTACCTATGTTTAAAAAAGCCATTGATTTGTTAGGTCCTCCCTTTTATAGTAACTAGTTAATTTATTTCTTTCCTTTAAGATGTATTTTTATGAAATCTTAGTCTTTCCTATATTGAGTGTATTCCAAAGGCTTAATTTTGGAATTTAATATCATGATGTTATCAATTACACAGCTAAAGTCTAACCTTTGTTTTCTGTTTACACTTTTATTTAATTTCAGAATATAAGATGTGTATTCTCTGCTAAAAGTGATTTTTATAAATGGATCTAAGTTATAAACGTAATACTTAATCTCAGTTTCTTTTTATTTTGATGATAGTGGAAGCTTTTTTTTACTAAGAGAAAAGAAAAGAAAGTTTATTATTATTCCAATAGATAATTCTTTTATTTTTTGATAATTTTCTATAATACAATAGCTTATATGTAGTTAAATATACGACTAGCTTTTTCACCTAATTCACTATCATTATTAAGTGTAAAACTATAATTCAATCTAAGTGAAAAATCATTTGTTACTTTATAGAATATAATTAAAAGTAAATCTGTTAAAATGGGTTATGTAATTTTATATGAATTTGAGTTAAGAACTTGTCACCATTTAGAACTTGTAAATGTAAAGTAGTGATAAGGCTAGCACATTACAATTATTAACAATAGAACTCTAAAATATAATAGAAAAATTAATTCAATACATCTTCATATGTAAATGTAACAGATATTTTTAGAGTACTTACAATAGTTTAAATGTATTGTTTTACATCAATTTTGTTTTTTATGCTTAATACTTGCTATTAATTGTTTTTGATACTCCTTAAATTTTCTCGATATATTAACTGTGCCTACTTTCCATTAAAATGTAAAAATAATATTCAAAAAAATAGCTTAAATACAATAAATAGAACTAAAAGTTTAGTTGCTACTATATATAGTACCTCATTTAATGAACTGAATATTATTTGCTATTCTAATTCTTCTAGATCATCATATTTAATTTCTATTATTTTATTAGCACTGGAAATTTGTTTGTCAGCCTCCTTAATAAGCGATTTATTCAGACATTTAGATTTACTATTGGAGGATGCAGGTGCAAAGAAACCTTTTGTGATTTTAATCTGAGTTTCTCTGCTAGATCCTGCAATCTCTGAAGATTAAAAACTTGATGATGGTGACGTGTTTTTCAAATGTAGTCTTGAAAAATTAGAACTCATATATCCTTTAGCTTTAATGTTGCTAATGAATAGACGATCAGAATTATTCTCATCTATGTCTTCATTTCTGGCAGTGGTTTTAGCCTATTCATATAATAATTAGATAAATAGAAAATCTTTTCAGAGGAATTCGCATGAACATATGGGAGCTTTGCTATTAAAAGTGGGTTCCGAGACTATAAATTGATTTTGAGTTAAATGATGATCAAAAAAT